TTAGGGAATACACTTCTAGTAATCTGCTAATTATTTTTTAAAAATACTAAGTGCTTAAAGGTAGTAGGTAAAAGTGTTGTTCTTTTTGTTGTCATCATATTTCTAGCATCACTAAAGAGTCTTTCACTTAGAGTTGAAGTCGCTAAAATGGCCAAATATTGTTGAGCTAATTTACTCAATATAGGAAACTGTTTTTGATTAGTACACTACCAGTTTAATGGATATTGATCCTATGAAAGTTCTTGAGCTCCAAGATAATCCAAAACTTCTAATTGCAGACATCTTTTATGAAACATTGATACCAATAAAGAATTTGAATAATTTTGAACACTATTATCATTTTCTTCAATTCTATATAGAACCTATACTTTCTCATATTCAGCTTTAAGTAATTCGAAGGCTCTATTTTTTAAAGATTCTGACATAAATGATAGAAGTTTACATCGAGGATTCAAAAGTACTACTAGCATAGCTTTGTTACTAGACACATCCTAATAATACTCCATAGTATTATATAGTGCTGATTTTATTTTTTCATCAAGATTAACACAATTCTGTGGATTATTAATGTCAACTCATCGTTTTTTGCTTGATTCATAATTTTCTTCTAATTCTTCATTACCTTCATAAACAACATCATCATCAAAAACATTACAAGAAAAATCAAAATCTATATTTAAATTGTTATTATATGTAAGAAGCTTTTGCTTAATTACTATAATCGTACTATACATAAAACTAATAGTAGCATATTTGCTGCCTCCTAATAGTTCAGTTGCTTCAGCAAAAGGTCTCAGAATTGTAATTAATGATGCTATTGCATCTCACTCTTCATTTGTTAGATTAATTTTTTCTAAACAGGCACCATCTTTGCGAGTTTGTAAATCATTATCTAGTAATGAATTTGTTATTATTATACGAATAATATCCCAAATTTTTATAAGTCATTTCCACAAAAGGTAATATGAATTCCATCTTGTAGAAACATCAGCAATAACTTATAATTGATAGTCATTATTCTCTAGATTCTGAAATAAATAAATTAATTAAAGTGAATTTATCTTATTATTTATTACATAATAAAAAAACACTTACAAGATTTTCAAACTGATGCATATTTTTTTGTGCATTTATTAATCTTTCAGTTTGCTTTGGCATAGTAAAAAACAATATAAGCCTCTTGGTGTATGCTATAAGAACTTCGGTATTTATTAACCCCTTTCTAATAACAAGTTGAAGGGTATGAGCAGTACACAGAACTCAAATGATATTTGGCATGCATTTTATAGTCTTAACTATATTGCTTCCATTGTCTATCGTAATAGTAAAAATTTTATTTGTTAACTCCCATTCATTAATTACAACATTTAATATCTTAGCAATTGACTCTCTAGTATGGGGGTATGGTAAATATCTAATTGTAAGAACCAATTTATTTAATTAAAAGTTATTATCAATAAATGAGCATATAACTCTGAGATATCCCATATGATTATGTCCTATTCAAAGATCATATATCAAAGAACAAGTAATAACATTATCATTAAGTATATTTTTAAGGGTTTCTTTGGAACTTATAAAAGCATTTGTAAGTAATTTTCTGCAGAGTTTTTTATTTGGTAACTGATAATTAAGATCAAACTCTGCCAGAAACTCGATCAAACTAGCACCTTTTTGTATGCTAGCAGGCAATTGATCCTTAACTAACATACTAACAAACTTTTAATTCCGACTTGCCTTTCGTTTAGGATCAGTTGCTACCATTTTTTGAAACATCTGTCTAATATTTGATTGTGTAGATAGCTTTTGCTTTTGTTTGTATATTGTTTCTGTAAGAGAATGCTGTGATACTAAGTGCCTAATAAAATTACTTGTTGAAGTATCCATTGACCTTATCAAATAGCTACATAATTGAAGCCCACTCTCCTATTAACTTTAAACAAACAATAAACTATTCGTTTATAGAGTTCCACAGGTTTATACAATTGATAATAACTCCATATCTAGCTTTTTCCAGAAACTTTGTTAATAGGTACTAGCTAAATATCTTTAAGATTGAGTTTAGATAATTTATTGTCATAAGAACTATTTTTAGATAGTGTGCTGCTAGCTACTTGATTACTGACAGATTTGTTAGTATCATTTAGTATCATATCATTTTCGTTAGGCCTTTTTTTTTTTTTCTGCAGTTTTAGATAGGCTAATATGTTTTCTTAGTTGTCTTGTAAAGAATTCACTACCCTCTAAATATTCTTTAGATTCAGGTTCACTATCGCTCAAAGAGATAAGGTCAGATACTTCTTGCTCCATACGCTCCATGTTGTTTTGATTCTATTTGTACAAAGTAAAGATAATTTTCACGTAGTAGTAGATTATCATACATATATATTTATGCACATAGTTAAAGATCACAAGATACATATAGTAATACAATTTAACCCCTCTATTATATGCTTATAAAGCTTATGCTTATAAAAATTGCTTAATTGCTTATAAAGAATTATGCTTATAAAAGATAATGCTTATATAGAGGTTTTTTATATTATGTGTTCATCTAAGAATGACTTTAGAAAGGCTTGACTATACTAGAGTAATTGTCAAAAAAAAAAAAAAAAAAAAAAAAAATTATAGAATACACATATAGTGCTTAACAATAATATATAAGGTTAGAAGTTTAAGGTTAGAAGTTTAAGATTAGAAGTTTAAGGTTAGAAGTTTAAGATCAGAAGTTTAAGATCAGAAGTTTAAGGTTTGAAGATTTTTGAGGTGCAGAGTATCTTTACTTAGAGTACCAACACTTATGGCAAACTTTTTTTTAAAAAAAAGTTAAATTATATATTAAAATTAGAGAAGGTAAGGATAAAAAAAGCAAAAAACAGTAAAAAAAAAAAAAAAAAAAAAAAGAAGGTGAGAAGAGAAAAAAGAATGATGCATATTTAATATTGGATTAGACAAGCAATATTACAGTAAAATGTTCTCTACAACATAATGTTCTATTTGTAAAAATAAGATCTTAAAGTCAGTAATGTTTGGAATTTAATAAAAGAGAGAACATTATGTCCGTTACTAATATATTTTTTTTTATTCAAATGTTTGTTTTTATAACTTTTGCTCACAGTATTATATGTATTAAAAATTGGCTTGTCAATTACTATATTAAGTTAGTTTAGATATTCAATGAGAATAAATCAAGGAAAAATAGATGTTAGCTAAAGCTACAAGTTTTTAGTTAGCTATAGATAGAGATATATATGTACGTACGTACTGGTCAAATTATTTTAAAAACTAATAGGTAATGGATGGTTATCTGTAAAATACTTATAGTATTTGGATATGCAGTTACTCATGTAGATACCTGCAGATATATCCTTTTAAAAACTGATAGATAACAGTTACTATCTGTGAGATAATTATAGTATTCGGATGTGTGATTAATAGTACGAATATCTGTAAATGCAGTTAACAGTTCTGACCTCTATTTTCAGCAACTAGTTACCCCCAGAAATTGAAGGGCACATCAACATAGTTGCAGGAGACTTTAATACCAACCTAAATCTAAGCAAGTATCACATAAGCCAAGCTGAAATACAGAATGACTTCTCTAGAATATTAGTAGAAAGACTAATATGAAATTTTAAGGATATAGCTTCTTTCTCAAAAGAATCTCCTTTTATTACATTCTATTAATACACATGCAATAACCAATTAATAGCTACACATCTGAATTATATTTTTATTAATACAGATTAGACCTATATATGTAAAAATACCTGCACTCGATTTGGTAACTCTGATTACCTATTGGTTGAAAGTGAACTGATGCTCAAAGAGTTATACAAGAATTCCTGCCTCTGAAGGTTTAATAGAAAGCTTAAACTTCTTCTTGAGATCAAAACTGAGATAGACAGCAAACTCAAGAATATTCAAGATACAAAAGAATGGAACTTACACAAATACTATATCCAATTAATTATTAAAGCTCACAAAACCAAGCCTCCTTCAGAAAGGTCAATTTATAGGATTCAAAGAAAACTCTGCAAAATCAACAATAGCTTAGCAAGAAACCCAAATCTCTCTGAGCTTCATCTAGTTGCAGAAAAACTTAATTCTCAACTACAAGAACAAACAACACTACTCTCAGAGAAATGGCAAACAAGATCCAATGCAAAATAGATTGAGGAAGGAGAAAAATCAACTAAATATTTCTTTAATCTGTACAGAACAAGACACTCAACCTTCTACAGCATATTAATCAGAGATTCTAACAATTTGAACCACACTTTTACCTACTACCTTTAAGCACTTAGTATTTTTAAAAAATAATTAGCAGATTACTAGAAGTGTATTCCCTAA